AACGAAAAGGCACAAGCAACAACAGCAACAAGAACAACAACAACAGCAGCAGCAATGCCAAAAAAAAAATCATACAGACTCAAAGCTTAAACTCGAATCGAATACGACAACAGCAACAAAAACAACAACAACAAAAGAGACGCAGACGTTTTTGAGTGTTGAACTGAAACGTGAGTCGTGCGACGAAATAAATATAAGCAACAAAATCAGGAATGCTAATATTACACTCATTAGGAATACGACTGCGGGAATGCCCTGTAGCCCTGTAGACCTTTAGACCAGCCTGTTGATAATCAACAAGTCAATCTCTGAAGGCAAATATAATTAAAAGCTTAAATACTAAACAAATTGTTTTATTTTTTTACATAATGACAATTGTGTATTTTTGCTGAACCTGTTTGTCTGTGAGACACATTTCTTAGTATTCTGTCTAAACTATTAGCTATTTACAACTGCAAGTATTTTTATTGGTTTTTCGTAATAAATTGCTGCATTGATTGATGACAACAATTTTAATTATAGATCGAAAGTCATTTTGATTTGAGCTAAAGAAACACAGTCTGCTCAGCTACCCTTTGACCCACCCCCCCTGGTTGTACAGGGTAGCAAAACACAGTACTTTCTGCTGGCTGGCGACAACCAATAAAATACAATTCCAAATGGAAAAAAAAAAACAGAAACAGAAATAACAAGAAAAATACTTATGCCAACTGGCAGTTAAATGTGAATTTGAAGTCGCTGTCCAAAATCGGCGACTCATCAGCGTCCACAAATGAAGCGTGATATTTGCATGCTTATTTTGTGGGGTTAAAGGCAAACAGCGCAGCGACGTCGACGACGACGACGACGTCATTGTAAAATGTGGCCAAATAGAAGAAGAAGAAGATGACGACGCAGTCGAAGAAGGTTAACAAGAAGAAGAAGAAGACGTTGAGAAGCAAGTGAAATGTGCCGCATCATGATTGAAAGCTGTGGCAATTAGCTTTAATTCTAAGCGGATTCCACTGCTGCGAAATATTTGTGACAGCTGATGTTGAAGCTGATGCTGATGCTGAAGCTGAAGCTGATGTTGCTGCTGATGTAGCAAAATTGTGTATTTGATCGATCTATCTTGGACTGCTTGTACTGGTCGCTGTTGGCTGTTGGCTGTTGGAGACGCCAACAAAGGGTCTGACAATCCAATCAGTGTGCGGTTGAAGCTTAGTACTAAGCACCTTTTGGGCAGCTGTGTGCAGCACGTGCTTAAATTAAATGTTTACTTGTGGCAAAAACTATTTGTAAACTGAAACTGGAACTGAGTGTTGGTTAGCAGCGGCGCCACACGACTAACAACTGACTGTACTCCGTTTCTCTGAGTGTGTGTGTGTGTTTTGGCCCTATTCAGCTGTCAAATGTGCAAAACGCCTCACACTTTACATTTCGTTACGGACACTTGAGTAACGGCGCTTGCAACAGCAACAGCAGACTTAGGATCAGCGCTGCACTTGAGCGCAACTGAGCTGAACTGAACTGATGCTGGCATCTTTTGTTACCATTAATCCTGACAGCGTTTTAGCCGCAGTCAGGCGCAAAGTCATCTACTTCAACGACAACAACAACAACGATCATTATGATGATGATGATGATTATGAGAAGGAGCAGTCGCAGCAGCAGCAGCAGGAGTCTTCATCTTCATCCTCGTCTCAAGGGTCGTCGTCAGAGGCTTTCTTTTCTTTTAGTATCAATTTTTTTTCTCTCCTCTCTTTTGTGTGTGTGTGTGTGTGAGAAGAGGGTGCGGAACGATTTTCATATGCATTTTGTACGCTTCACGGAAAATGTTTTGTAACCAATTTCTTACACCTTCGTTTACCTGTTTGCTGTTTGCTGTTTGGAGTGTGGGGCTGATGCCGAATGCCGATGCTGAATGCTGATGTTGACTTGAAGTGGTTTTCACTGGAGCTCAGTTGTCGGTTGCATGTTCTTCGATTTTTGACAGATGATTCTGTTTTTCTTGGATTTTTCTGTATGATTGAGGTCTGATACTGCTGCATAGACAGCTATTAATATGTTTGATTATAGACCTCGATTTCAAGCAGCAGAAAGCAGCCGAAAGCCTTTAAACTGAAGAGGCGCTTCAGCCAAACTTTTAACAACGATTTTCAAATTTGAAACGTATTTTCATGCTTCAACACAAAAACCAAAACAAAATCGAAGAAGTAAAACAATGCGGCAGAGTTTGGAGAGGAGTCGTCAGCCGTCGCGTGGGATTCGATTGGTATTTGGTTAGATGGTGCAGCTGTGCTTCTAGCTGCTGCCTGTGGCACTTTTCTTCTACGTGCCACACATCTTTTGTCTCTTTGCTGCCAGCCTGCTGCACAATATTTATTGTTTATTGGCCCTGCTCGGCATTGTGCGTCTGAAGTATGCGCCTCATTTTACCTGTGAGAGAGTCCTTGCTGCCTGCTGTCTGACGTAAAAACCCCTGCGGCTTGCAACAGGTGAGAACTGATTTTCTCGATGCAACAACAACAAAAACAACAACAACAGCAACGCAGAAAACTGCCAAAATACAATGTTAACAGCGCTTCTACAAATCTGTGTGTATTTTTTCTTTTTCTTGTTTTTTTTTTGGCCAACAAAGACAAAAGCCAAAGCGCCGTAGATTTTAATGCCCACGCAGAGATCAGTCTCGCACACACACACACAGACACACACACAGACACAGACAGACACACACCCAGACAAGGCAAGCGGCGAACTTGAGTGCTTATAAGGCAGCATTTGCACAGTCGAACAACTCTCTCAGACTCAACACACACACACACACACACAGACACACACACACATAGGCACAGGTGAGCAAGAGCGAGAGATAGAGAGAGAGCGACGGGGAGGGAGAGAGGGAGAGCGAACGCCAAGCGCATGGCTGCCTATAACACAATAACAACTGTTTAAATGCTTCGCCACGAATTCGCCGCACACAAGCGATGAACAAGAAGAAGAAGAAGAAGAAGAAGCAGAACAACAACAGCAACAGCTACGAATTTCGGTACATATACAATTTGTGAACTTACCTGTGTGCTTGTGTTTGTGTGTATTTTGTGTGTGTGTGTTTTGCTCGGGTTCGCAACGAATCTGGGAAGCCGCTGCAAACGATTACCAGACGACAGCTGTCAGCAGACAGCATACAGCAGACAGAAGTCAAGGGCGGCTTAGGATTAAACAGTTATCAGCAATATGACGCAAAAGGATTTAAGCATTTGATAAGCCTATTTTGCAGTTAAAATTGTGTTGCGCTAAAAGAGCAGAGAAGAGCTAACTGTATTTGACAATTTAATAAAAATGCATTGATTTAACAGCTGTATTTGAATTTATATTTTATATTTATGCTACTCAAGATATTCTTTTATTTTTATATTTATAAATGGATTTACTAAATAACTCTGAATAAGTTGGGTAAATACTTGAAACATGTCTAATAACTTTGTTGTTCTAAAACGATCTTGCTGAGTTATCTTTAGTTGTAATGCTCGGTTGAGATTACTAACTAAAGATAAATCATGATTGCAATTGTGAGCGGTTCCACAATGTGACATATTTAATATTATAGAACGGGGTTCCACAATGCGACATATTTAAGATTATGGAACGGTCACATTGCAATCATGAGTTATCTTTAGTTAGGATCACTAACTCTATCAGTCTAACTGACTGCAATTGTATGTGTAGCTGTATAGCTGTTTGTGTGTATATCTTTGGCTGCCTGTTGCTGTCTTTGAATCTAATGTGCAGCTGCACAAGCAACAGGCAGCATTTTCTTTGGCTCGCCTCGCTTCGCTTTGCATTGGTTCGCTTCGCTTTGCTTTAGTTTTGTATTTGCTGTTCTTGTTGTTGTTGTTGTTTTTGGCCTGATCTTCGCTTCGGGATCTTCGCCGCTCACCTTTTACCAACCAACATTGCGACGTTTACCTGTATTCTATACTGGCTATGCTCGCTCTTTACCTAACTCGCCGTGTGAGCTGTGCCTGTGTGTGTGTTTGTGTGTGTTTGTATTGGTGAGCAGTGTGCGCTGTGCATTGAGCGAGGTTCGTTTCGGCTTCAGTTTCGAAGCTAACGTGACACTGCGCAGACGCGAATTGCTACACGAGTCGTGACTTGACGTGACGTGACGTGAGTGAGTCCAGGCAGTGGATATAACAGTGCCACGCCTTGCCTTTCGTTGCACCGTGAACGGCTCGACTTGCCGCTAATTCACTGCTAATCGAATGTAATGCCAAAAAAGAAAAACAAATAATAAAAAACGTCCAGTTTCCAGTTGCGCGATTGTTTAGCGACTGGCTGCTGATCGAAACGAGTGTGTTTGTGGCAAGCGAGGAAGAAGAAGAAGTGCAAAGAGAAGAGCCACAGAAATAGATATATAATAATTTTTGTGATTTCATTGCTAATTGGCGAGACAGGGACGAAAGTGCAGCTGTAGTTGCTTAGCAGTAGTTGTTGTTGCCACAAGATGGCCCAGTGTTTATGCAAAAGACACCAGCAACAACAACAGCAACAGCAACAGTAATAACAACAACAACAACGACAATATAGGCGACAGGCAGCTTGCAGCTCAGCTTTTTAAAAGCTGCGCCTGCGCCTGCGCGCGCTCACCCTAACCTCGAAAAAGCTACGCGCGAGTCGAACTCGAAAAAGAGAATTGAAAAGCTGCCAGCAAACAACAAAAAAAAGCAAAAAGCAAAAACAACAACAACAATAAAAGCCTTCGTAATGTAAAACTGGTTCCTATACAAAAACAAAAAAAAAATAAATAGCAGCAGCAGCTACAAATACCAACACAAAACACACACACACACACACACACACATGCAGATACGGCAATTGCAGCGACAACAACAACAGCAATAATAAAACGCAGTGAAAGAGTTCGGAAGTTTTTTTTGTTGTATTTTTGGCACGCAAAACGTAGCAAATTTTTTGTTGGTCTTTTCACGCTGACAAAGCGAAAAACAACACGCGCAAATCAGCAAAAACGCAAAAAAAGCAACCAATAAAAAGTGTTTAAACCAACAGAAAAAAAGCTAGCAACATAGAAGGCTGAAAACGTTGCCAATTTCTGTAATTAACAAAAAAAGAGACCACAAAGAAACTCATGACGTCACGGGCGTCAGGTTCGACTCGCACTTGATTCGCATTTTGGCTCAGCTGCAACCCAAAACGATGCGCATATTAAAATTGTTGAGGCCGCTGCTGCTCGTCCTGCTGCTCCTGCTCCTGGTGAACTGCGTCTGTGTGTGGCCCGTTTCGGCGGCCCGGGATCGGTTCGCCCGCCAGAATGCCAAACAGCGACAGCAGGACGTCTATCGCAACAGCAACGCGAACCGTGCACGCAATCGTCCCTCGAACGTTGGCCATGATCGTGCAACAGCCGCGGCAGCGGTAAGCGGCGTTATCATCGGCAACGCTGGCAGCGTCGTCGGCGATAACAACAAGGATACGTTCCCCAAAGGCAAAAGTAAGTGGCAATCATAATGCAAATGCAGGCAAACAAATGCAGCCAAATTCGAAGCTTATAATTTCTATAATTATCAATGTGGCACATTAATCTGATGCCACTAACGGAATTCAAATGGCTTATTAACGATTTGGATAAACAAAATGGCAGCGTAAAGATTGAAAATAGTTAAGGCTCATTTGCAAAACTGAAAATGAAGCGAGAGATCTTTTATTATATATATTATATATACGATAAATTGATCTTACTCTTTGCTTACTGACGATAGGCATAAAGAAATAACAGTTTAATGTCTGGAGACGTTTAAGCCACTTTCTTAACTCATATTCAAAACTGAAAATGCATTTGGATTTGATAGAAGCGAGATGGAGATTTATCATTAAATATATATTACATATTTATTGACATTTAGAATATAGAAAATAACTGCTTAATCGCTGAAACTACGCGCTTAAGTTACAAACTAAAAAAGTATTTGGATTTAGTGGAAAATGGCATTGGCAAAGAAGAGAGAAAGATTTATCATATTCATCATTATAAACTCGATAAGTTGCAAGTTGCAAGTCGTAAATCAAATGCCTAGCTGAAAATGCATTTGGATTTGATAGAAGAGAAAAAGATTTATCATTATATATATATATATATATGCTCGATTATCAATTTACTTACTAGTATTATTTTGTAAGACATGTTTCAATGACTTGTTGAACCTGTTTTAGCTGCTGAGTTGTGGGGGGTGCCTTATTCAACTTAGCCACACTCAGCCTTGTCCACACATCAGTCATGTGCATCCATCATGCGTGCGCATCCATCATGATGTTTATGTAGATTTGCCTGCCCATATATCATAATCATATCAAGACATTTGCCCCGAATAAATGCAGCCCCAACACAAAAATCAAAATACACATATATACATATATATATATATATATATGTATATATATGTATGTGATGTATGCCCAAAAGGTACTCGTATTTACTCGGCAGTTAACTTCGTTGCGTATCTGTATCTGTGTATCTGTATTTGATATGCAGCTCCGCTTATCTTATCGCTCTGAAGTGCTGAAGTGCACCAATGTTTAGTTTTGGGTTGAGTTTGGGGTTCCTTTTTTTGTTGTTGTTGTTGTTGTTGGGCTGCTTGTTGGCATTTCATACCTTTTTTACCTGCCCAGTTAGTTGGCCGGCGTTCGGGCCTCAACCTCTTGACTTGGGCGCACGACCCCGCCTCCCAGTGTATGTAGTTTACTTTTTAGCTTATTTTTGTTTTTATTATCAATCCGTTCTACAAACACGAAACCCTGTAAGAATCTCTCTACTGTTTGTGCGCATTTCGTAACCAACTTGAACAGTTTTTTTTTTATATTTATGTTGCGACTGGTTGGTTGGTGGCTGGTGGCTGTTGCTGTTGCACTTTCAAGCAAATTTTCCATTTCTCTTTGTCAGCAACGGCAGCAACAGCAACAGTCACAAACAGTCGACACAATTTCCAGCTAAAATGGCGACTTAATTTGTTGACATCGCAAGTATCACGAGTATCGCATTTGCTCATTTTGCCCAGCTCGAAAATTAATGAGAACCCATAACGGCCAACACTCGAGGGCAGTTCAATATGTAATGTTTGAGATCATTTCGATTATTATTATTATCATATCATTTTTGCGTGCTTTTATTTTCCAACTTTTTGTTTCGTTGACTGTTTAAAATTTGGATATTTTATAAACTGCCCCTGGTCGCTGTTACTCGAAAATTAATAGCAACAAAATATGGCACGTTTTTACACCCTGCACAGATTGATTGCATGCACGATGGGTGTCCTCTGGTTGTGATAAATGTATTCTCAATCAGTCAATATTGATGAATATCGATTTTGATTAGTTTTGACTAATTTCCATTAGCGTACTTTTGTAGATATGACCTTGGAATTTGATCAATTTACACATTTTCATGAAGGTTACAGCTGAGATAACAGAACAGGGTATCTGCTAGTCAGGGCACTTTAGACTCCACTTGGCATCTCATTTATTTTGTTTGTATCTTTAAGCAAAACATTTGTTTACCCAATATTTTGGAGCAAATATTAGCATTTGGCTGGCAAATAAGTTAACAATTTTCTACTGCTCCCCACCACCAGCACCACCAACACCACTCCCCCTCTCCCCCTGCCCACATTCCATACTTTGTCGATATTCAGTGATCTTGTAGCTGCAAATTAATAAACGTCTCGCCCCCAGTCCGCAATTGCACAAATATTTGAAGTAAGAGCCACGGTTATCGCCAGTTGCGTTGCCGTATGCCATATGCTAATGGATCCAGCTTTATAATGTTTCTACACACTATGTACACTATATACATATTGAAGTTTGCCGGATATGGATAAGAAAACAATAATAATTATTATTATTATACTGATAAGCGATTTGCCAACCAATTGTCAATTGTTATAAGTCCCCAAGGGTCGATATGGTCGTTTCTTCGGAATCGAATATGTAGCTACATCTGTGTGACTGTATATAATTATATATATATATATATAATTATATATATATATATGTTTTGCACCACTCCAAAGTAGTTTTGCGATTTTATGGCACGTTGTCGTCGTCGTCGTTGTTGTAAACAAGCACAGCTGCAACAGATATGCAAATAAGTCGATTGGCAAAACAAACCGAGTCGACACGGACACTAACTGTGCATCTAACGCGGCGGGGTGCAAAGGGGCAAAACCCTGGAAATCGAGGACAATTGGAATTATTGTTGTGGCAACTGCTGTGGAGTATTCGCAACGCTTTGATTACGATTGTGGCGCAACTGTAGACAGCCAGTTGTCATAATAAGAGGGCTAAAATATTTGCCGAATACACAAGCGACTCTAAAGTGGGGCAAGCGCAAATAAGGGCTCAAATCAAGCGATTAATATATGTCTATGGTTACTTGTAATTGGTGTTAATTAAACTGTTTGCAGACTTAACTTGGAATATATATTTATATTAGCATGAAACTGAATAAAAAGTAATTTCTCGTTTCTATTTCGAATTTCTTAGCCAACTTATCTAAACTTATTCAGCTAGCTATTTTTTAGTTATCAATAAGCATTTAAACTGCACACAAAAACTAATTTAACTTGTCCATAAATTTGAACATGCTGCCAGGTTTTACACTAAATGAAAAGTTGAAGTCTTGTTTTTTCTATATGTACACATTATTTCCAGGTTTGCCTTTCTATTGTTTTCTTTGTTGGTTTATTGCTTGCGTGCGTTTTGGGCTGCACTTTAACGCTTTTTGGCCAGGCCAACAGCACAAAGCACAAAGCATCGACCACGATTTGAGTGCCCAAGCGCCTGATTCTAGTTGAGAACTAAAAGGTTTCCTCAGCTAGCTTTGTGTTCACTGTGTTTGTGTGTGTGTTGAGTGTGTGTGTGTGTGAGTTGGTGCTTGAAAAACCACATTCCATAGTGTGCCTGGCCACACTGTGCATCCACAAAGACTCACAATAGCAACAACAACAGCCAACCACAACAACAACAACAACAACAACAGCATCCACTGAGAGCCAGATACATAAAATGGTGTAAGCTCTGGCTAATTACGGCGTCAGGCACGCGCTCACTCTGACTCTGTATGTGTGTGTGTGTGTGTGTGTGTGTGTGTGTGTGTTGCTGGTGTGCAACTGCAGCTGTGTGTTGCTTAGTTTGCATAGCATTTCTATAATTCCTGATTAAGACATCATATAAGCAACACACATACAACAAAAAAAAAACACTCAACGGCAAATCGCCAATTGCGGGTTTTTTTAATATTTATTTTTGAGCTGTTGAACTTTAATGCCAGTTCTGCTGTTGTTGTTGTTGTTGTTAGTTTTTTAGCAAGCCAACTTTAGTGTAGAGTGCGCAGTACCAAGTCTTTATACAAAATACTGGTTTTCTAAACCCACACACACACACACACAGACAGACACACACACACAGACAGACAGGCAGCAGTTGCAAGCAGCAATTGCAGTGTGAAGTGCTGGCTGCTGCGACTGCGACTGCGCAGCTCGCTCGCCTCCTCTCCTTTCCTCTCTCTCTCTCTCTCTGTCTCTCTCTCTCTCTATTTTATTTGCTCACACACATACACACACACACACATAGAGTTGTATTTACACATTTTACGACACTTTTTCTTAACAACCTTTTTGGAAGCCTGCTTGCACTTTATATTTTGAATTGCCGAATGCACAGTGTGACCGACCTGCAAATGATTTGCTTTCCACTGTGTGGTCTTAGCGTCTTCTTCTTCTTCTTTATCATCTTCTTCTTCTGCTTTAGCGACTTTTTTTTTTTTTTTAAGTTTTGCTGTGCTTTGCTTGTCTTCTCGTGTGGGCGTTTCGATTTCGAAACTTGCAGCAGCAGCAGCAGCGGCAGCAGCAGCGGCAGCGGCGGCAGCTTCCGCAGCTTCGTTGTTGCGACCCACGTATTTGTTATTGTTGCTTGTTTGTTATTGTTGCTGTCTGTTGTTGTTGCTGTCTGTTGTTGTTGCTGTTGTTGTTGTTGGCTTCTTCGCTTGGTTCTATGCCTAAAAATAGCTAAAATGCTGCGTTACTGAAAATGCTTATAGCCATTGGGCATTGAACAGCCCAAAAATGGCGCCAGGGCGTGCTCATTAAACCAAGCAGCTATATCGTCATTTTCTCTACGCCTCTCTCCTTGCCTCTCTCTCCACTCTCCACTCGCTCCACTCTCCATTTGCTCCTCGCTCCTCGCTTATTGTTGCTTCGGACTTGGCGCAATCGCGTCGAGCTTATCTAATGGCAACATTGTTTGCTGTTTCTACTACTCATTCTAGTTGCTGTTGCTGTTGCAATTGTTGTTGCTGTTATTGTTTTTTGTTGTTGTTGTTTTTATCATGCAGCACGACCTGCGCCCAATTGTTTTTTTTTTGAGTTGAAAAACTTAAATGAACGCGCATCGAACACGAAATGGGCAACAAAACAGCGCGCAGCAACCTCAACCAAGCCA